AGATGCATGAGAGAGGTGTGGGGACAGGTGGGGACTTTCAATGGACGCGTCCTGAATAAGATCATCTTAAAGCCGTTGTAAAGGCTGGACATGCATTCCCTGCAATAAGGTAAAACAATGTTCCTGTATTTGTATCGCCCCCCCTACCCATCTGTATACCGGAGCCCAATCCCGATCTAGTGCTGTGCCTGTCTGCCGCGGCTCTCTCCTCTCTGTTTGCTCACAGAGGCAGCAGCAGGGGCCATTGACTCCTGCTGCTGTCAGTCAAATCCTGTAAGCAGGGGGTGGGGTTGAGCTCAGCTGTGTGTGTCAATAGATGCACATATTCCGGCTGGGATGCGAGCCTTTATCTGAGCCGGAATATGTGCATCTATTGACGCACACAGCTGGGCTCAACCCCACCCCCTGCTCTCTGCTTACAGGATTTGACTGACAGCAGCAGGAGTCAATGGCCCCTGCTGCTACCTCTGTGCCCCCATAGGTGCACTGGGAAGAAGAGGAGCCTAGTGTGCCGACGGGGGACCCAAAAAGAGGTGGTTTGGGGCCACTCTATACAATACCTTTGCACAGAGCAGTTAAGTATAACATGTTTGTTATTTTATTTAAAAAAATGGATCTTTACAATCACTTTCAAGGATTGAGCTGACCAGCGTGCAGCCTTCTTTATATGGATGTTGTGCTACACTGGAGCAAGGATGGGCCAGTGCCATTTTTTTTCATTTTAGACCAAGAAGGACAAGTGGAGTTTGCAGCGGTGCTCCACATGTGGATGCTACATTTACATCAGGTAGAGCTTACACAGAACTGTGATTTCTTCCCTACACCATATGACAGTGCTGTCACATGACCCTCAATACCTGGGAGCACTTTTTTCAGCCTAGGGAAGGACAAGTGGTGGAGTTTGCAGCGGCGCTCCACATGGAGGATGCTACATTTACATCAGGTAGAGCTTACACAGAGCTGTGATTTCTGCCCTACACCATATGCAGTGCTGTCACATGACCCTCAATACCTGGGAGCACTTTTTTCAGCCTAGACCAAGAAGGACAAGTGGAGTTTGCAGCGGCGCTCCACATGGAGGATGCTACATTTACATCAGGTAGAGCTTACACAGAGCTGTGATTTCTGCCCTACACCATATGACAGTGCTGTCACATGACCCTCAATACCTGGGAGCACTTTTTTCAGCCTAGACCGGGAAGGACAAGTGGAGTTTGCAGCGGCGCTCCACATGGGGGATGCTACATTTACATCAGGTAGAGCTTACACAGAACTGTGATTTCTGCCCTACACCATATGACAGTGCTGTCACATGACCCTCAATACCTACACTGGGAGCGGGTAGGACTTTTTTCAGCCTAGACCGGGAAGGACAAGTGGGAGTTTGCAGCGGCGCTCCACATGGGGGATGCTACATTTACATCAGGTAGAGCTTACACAGAACTGTGATTTCTGCCCTACACCATATGACAGTGCTGTCACATGACCCTCAATACTTGGGAGTACTGTTTTTTTTTTTTTTTTTTTTTTTTTAGCTTCCGGCAGTTGAAGGAAACATTAGTGTGCACTGCCTAGAAGGGTGGCATTTAGGAAAAGCACAGGTTTTCGGATCTTTATCCCCTCTGAAGTATTCATATTTATGTGAGCTTAGTCACACACAGAAATTTGGAGCAAGTGCAGCGGGAACTCTATTGTGTTTTTCACCTCATTTGATCCAACGTGTTTCTCAGCAAAATGAAATACAGATATCGTTATTTTCTCTATTAAAGAAACATGAGACTTGGCAAAATTTGCAATCAGAAAATGACAACCCCCCCCCACCCCCATTCCCACAGATAAGCTTCTGACGACAGAATAAAAATGACAGCGCTGTTTAACTCGCCTACCACATTTAAGGCCTAGAACACAATGAGGTAATGTAACACACAGACCACATCTGAGATTGGCCTTTTATTACTTCAGTGTGTCTGTCTGGTGGAGTGTTCCAGGAACAAAAGGACTCGCATTGAAATATGTTAAGAGCGTCTTGGGGAAACATCAATTTTCAGTAATAAGCGATTCACAGGCTTGATGAATATATTGTAGAAATATTCATGATGACGGAGGTAGTTTGTCCTGGAATTATACACTTAGCCAATTTTATTTTTTTTTTTCCAGGTAGATCTTACTTTCCGAAGACACTTGTCTGTGGTTAGGGGTTATTCAACTACATAGTGGTTTTGTATCTTTGGAGGAACCTGTACTGAGGAAAATAAGCAATTTATAGAGGAGCCTAGTGTGCCGACGGGGGACCCAAAAAGGGGTGGTTTGGGGCCACTCTATACAATACCTTTGCACAGAGCAGTTATTTATTTATTTATTTATTTATTTATCGAGTTTATATAGCGCCAAAGGGTTTGCTCAGCGCTGTACAATAGAGGGGGGACAATACATGAAACAGTACAGTAACATCAAACAGCACACAAGGGGTAAGAGGGCCCTACTCTTTCGAGCTTACAATCTAGGAGGGAGGGGGTAGAGGTACAGGAGGAAATGGCTGTGGGGGATGGAGTGGTAGGAGGAGGGAAGGGCAGCGGCTGTTAGGTGAGGGTGGGGTAGGCTTCCCTGAAGAGGTGGGTTTTCAGGGAGCGCCTGAAGGTGAGGAGGGAAGGTGACAGTCTGATGGATTGGGGTAGTGAGTTCCAGAGGATGGGGGAGGACCTGGAGAAGTCTTGCAGTCGTGCATGGGAGGAGGAGACCAGGGAGCAAGATAGAAGGAGGTCCTGTGAAGAGCGAAGGGTACGGGTAGGGTGGTACTTGGGAATCAGGTCGGTGAGGTAGTTAGGGGCAGTGTTGTGAATGGCTTTATAGGTCAGAGTGAGTAGTTTGAATTTAATGCGTTGGGCAATGGGGAGCCAGTGGAGGGAGAGGCAGAGGGGGGTGGCAGAGGTGGAGCGGCTGGTGAGGTGGATGAGTCTGGCAGCTGAGTTCAGGATGGTCTGAAGCGGGGAGAGCCTGCACTGGGGTAGGCCGAGTTAAGTATAACATGTTTGTTATTTTATTTAAAAAAATGATTCTTTACAATCATTTTCAAGGAGCCTATAAATGCTAGATGCCTGGCTGTCTTTCTGATCCAGTGTCTCTACAGCTTTCTGTGTAACAGTCTCAGGAACAAGCATACAGATGAGGCCCGGTTCACATAACGTGAGAGTGTTCTTGCTACGTGATTTCCAAAGCACTGTTCTGCGTGTCGCATAGGGCCAGCCTAATTACTTGAAAGCACGTTTGTTGCCTGGAAAGAAGTTCCTGCTCCTTTTTGGATGACAAGCTACATGCAATTTTTTTAGGCGTGGTTTGCGGTGTGATTCTGTCACGTGACAATCATGGCAGAATCGCATCACATTTCGGGTGCCATTGAAGAACCATGGCAACCAAACACGCATTGCATGTTTAGAATTTAAAGCTATTCTGATTCCTGTGATTTTTTAAAGGCGGGGTTTGGTGTGATTGCCGCACGACAGTTGCTGCAGAATCGCATCGCATTTGGGGTGCCATTGAAGGATAATGGCACCCAAACACACATCGCATGTTTTGCAGTGAGATTTGGAATCACGGGCAGAATTGAGGCTATTATGCTTCATGTGAGTTTTAAAGGCGTGGTTTGCTGCATTATTCTGCCACGTGACAATCACGGCAGAATCGCATCACTTTGGGGTGCCATTGAAGGATAATGGCACCCAAACACGTGTTGCATGTTTTGCAGCGATTGTCACGCAATTTGGAATCACAGCTAGGATTGAGGCTATTCTTCTTCATGTGATTTTTGAAGGCGCGGTTTGCTGCATTATCCTATCATGTGACAACCACAGCAGAATTGCACCACATTTGGGATGCCCATGAAGGATAATGGCACCCAAACACGCTTTACATGTTTTGCAGCGATTGCCATGAGATTTGGAATTGCAGGGAGAATCGCGCCGATTCTAGCTGCGATTCCAAATCACGAAGTGTGACTTCATGGGGCCTGAGGATCTTTGTGTAATCCCATTGTATTTCAGGATACAAGATTATAGGTTGCACCAAAACAGGAAATAGTTCACATAGATATAGAATAAAACATTCCAGAGGGACATCCACACGTAAGTATCAATAAGAATACAAGGGGTAAAAACAATTGTAGTGGTGATGAGAAGCTTGGAGCAGATCTGTACCCTCGAGTCTGTACAGGGAGGTTGTCTGATTCAATATCATAGTCAGAGAATACTCCTGGGGTTAGTCCGTCCCGGCAAACACCCGTCTCATTACCCCTAAGGTGATCAAGAGGGATTTCTAATTGGGGTGTAAAGGTTATACAAGGAGGTGATCCTCAGGAGTCAAGCATTCCAAACAGCGACAACATAGGTATTGGAAAGGGAGAAGATGACATAATGGGCCCCGAGGGAGGATTCTGGAGACAGTGTATATAGACAAGGGGAAATACAGACAGAATGCAGATAACTAGAGAGGGCTATAGAAGAATGGGCAGGGGACCCGAGGACTACATTGCAAGAATAATTGAGTTGTTTGGAGAAAGGTGTAGAATTGAGGGGATGGTTTTGTGGTGAAATTGAGGAATGGGGGAATGACGGGAAATGTTTACTTTTAACCTAGAGTACTTATTCCCAGAGGGGCCGGATCTAGCATATCTGATCTAGGGGTGCAGTTAAAAAAGGTCAGGAGGCGTAATGTCAATAGTGTGACAGGGATGCATGGAACCGGTATTCCTTGTTCACTCGCCATGTTTGTGTACCACAGAATCACAACCCAGAAGTAACATCTGACAGGTAGTGCAAAGGAGGTGCAGGAGTGAACAGAAAACACTAGTGTGTATTAGGATGATTAAACAGAACCTGAGCTCCCTTTTATCAGGTGTTCCTATCAGAGTCCCTCTTTACATCAGGAGTCCTCAGAGTTCCCCCTTACATCGGGGTTCCTATAATTGTCTCCTCTTACATCAGGTGTGCTCATCACAGTCCCCTGCATAAAATGTCCACATCAGAGTGCCCCTTACATCAACTATCCCTATCAGTGTACCCCTTACATCAACTGTCCCCATCAGAGTGCCCCCTTGCATCAACTGTCCCCATCAGAGTACCCCTTACATCAACTGTCCCCATCAGAGTGCCCCCTTACATCAGGTTTCCCCATCAGAGTGCCCCTTTACATCAGCTGTCCCCATCAGAGTGCCCCCTATTGAATTGGGTATTGAATTAAAATTCAAGGAGGTCCGGTCACTAAAATTTTCTTCTGACCGAGGTCCATATAGGGTATACCCATCAGTGTGCCCCCTTACATTAGGTGTCGCCATCAGAGTGCAACTTTACATCATGTATTCCGATCTCATCAGGTATCCCCATCAGAGTGCCCCTTTACATCAGGTATCCCCATCAGAGTGCCCCTTTACATCAGGTATCCCCATCAGAGTGCCCCTTTACATCAGGTATCCCCATCAGAGTGCCACTTTATATCAGGTATCCCCATCAGAGTGCCCCTTTACATCAGGTATCCCCATCAGAGTGCCCCTTTACATCAGGTATCCCCATCAGAGTGCCACTTTATATCAGGTATCCCCATCAGAGTGCCCCTTTACATTAGGTGTCCCCCATCAGAGTGCCCCTTTACATCAGGTATCCCCATCAGAGTGCCACTTTATATCAGGTATCCCCATCAGAGTGCCCCTTTACATCAACTGTCCCCATCAGAGTGCCCCTTACATCAACTGTCCCCATCAGAGTGCCCCTTACATCAACTGTCCCCATCAGAGTGCCCCCTTACATCAACTGTCCCCATCAGAGTGCCCCTTACATCAACTGTCCCCATCAGAGTGCCATCAACTGTCCCCATCAGAGTCCCCCTTACATCAACTGTCCCCATCAGAGTCCCCTTTACATCAACTGTCCCCATCACAGTGCCCCCTTACATCAACTGTCCCCATCAGAGTGCCATCAACTGTCCCCATCAGAGTCCCCCTTACATCAACTGTCCCCATCAGAGTCCCCTTTACATCAACTGTCCCCATCACAGTGCCCCCTTACATCAACTGTCCCCATGACAGTGCCCCCTTACATCAACTGTCCCCATCAGAGTGCCCCTTACATCAACTGTCCCCATCAGAGTGCCACTTTGCATCAACTGTCCCCATGACAGTGCCCCCTTACATCAACTGTCCCCATCAGAGTGCCACTTTGCATCAACTGTCCCATCAGAGTGCCCCCTTGCATCATACATACATCATGCATAGACTTCTATCTGTCCTATCTCAGATCGATGAACATGGGTACATTCATCCTGCCCATGCATGTTAGAATCCCGGGCTGGTCCCTGCTGAACTGGGTGAGATTTGAACCATCTATGGCCAACTTTACCCCGGATTGATGGCTTTAGGAAACCATTTGTTTCGTTCAGGTATAAATTCTGTCACACTATGGTATCCATTGGGGACATTTTTTTTGTTTGCACTCAGGTGAAGTTGGCACCACAGGGTTTTTTTGTTGTTATTTATTTAAAAGGTAAGCCTGTGATTAGCAGCACTGTCAGCAGGGGCCATTTGCTGACCACCTTGTGTGAACATCTGCAAGAGATTACAGTGTCAGGCCTAATAAAAGCTGCGATTCAATCAATTTAACTGCAGGTATCCATGAAGGGCCCTTCCATGCAGGGGACTCGACACCCCCTCGGAGAGTGTTCATTAGCCCTGTTGTTCCTCATTCAGGACCCATTCCTAATGGAGTTTTTACTTTGCATTTCCCTTTTACACATTTATTCTGTCCTTTGAAATTCAAAAGTGAGCTTCACCAGGTCCATTCAGATGTGATTTTAAGTGCAGTTGTCATTTTATGTAGTGAGGGCAAATGTTATTTATGGGGAAATGCGGTGGATGACATTTATGTTGTGAGGACAGTCAGCGTTCACAAGGCAGAAGCGGACTTGTGCACGCCTCATTGTATTCGTTTGCCTTCACTTTCTGTTCAGTAACACCATATATTATATGGCTGAAAGTTTGTGTTCACCTTATGATCACACCTACCTACCTATATGGCCTTGGGTAAGTGAACCCCCTCCAAATGGACAAGTTCAGGAGTTCTCATCAAAGGGTACCTACACTATACAAACACATTTTAGGCAACTAATGCCGGCCATAGATGGGCCGAAAATCGGACGATTTTCACACCGTTAGTGGGTTAATTGGTCCGCTTTTTTTTCGGGGTTTTTGCACATTTTTTTTATCGGGCATGTTGGAAAATTTGCGGCCGATTTTTGACGATCGGCCGATTTTCCCGGCAATGATGGGCAAATCGGCCGATCGTTTTACCGATTAAAAAAAAAAATGCGCATCAGCCTTGACGTGCAAAAAGAAGAAAAATAAGAATTCCAGTCCGCTATTATATTTTATATGAAAAGTCTTGCGGTTGCAACAATGTATCCATTTGTATACAAATAAAAACCTCTGTATCCGAAATGGATACATTGTTGCAACCGCAAGACTTTTAATATAAAATATAATAGCAGGCTGGAATTCTTAGGGACAGAAGTAATTGGGGTTAAATGCCAGCCATAGACGGGACGGAAATTGGAGTTTTTTTTACCGTTGGTGGTAACATCAGCCAGTCGAACGACCAATTTTTTGATTGGTTTTTTTTTTTTTATAATGGGCGGTTTTCAACCCGTCTATGGCCTGCTTATACCTAATTTGTTTTTTCATAAAATCGTTCACCACAAAATTAACTTTAAGTCTGCCCCACCCCCTCGCTCGCATTCAGACAATAATTTTGTGGAAACTGCATTTATTCTTCTACATGCACCCCTGCTACATTTATACACTTATCCCAGCCATGTAACTGATGCCTGGAAAGCTTCGGCATAGAAAGATTTGTTAATACACCCGAACCATCCTAGGACAGCCGGCTTCAGTTCCTCATCAGTGCTGAAATGCTGACCTCCGAGGAACTCTTTTAGGGGTCCAAACAGGTGGCAATCCCTTGGAGTGAGGTCTGGGCTGTGAGGGGGGGGTGTAGCAATACCTCCCAGCTGAGGTGCTGTTATGTGCACTTAGTGGGGTGAGCAGGATGAGCTGTGCATTGTCCTGGAGAAACATGGCGGCCTTAGTGATCAGAGCAGGCCAACGTGTATGCACAGCACTCGGGACACGACAGTAATATTGACTGTTATTGGTGGCACCAGGGGGTAGAAAATCCACATGAATCACTCCACGTTTGTCCCAGAAAACACTCGCCATCACTTTACCTCTGAAATGTTTTTGGTGGTGGTGAGTCTGCATGCCTCCTCTGCTTTGACGCTCGTTTTGGTTCCGGAGTGAAATGATGTGCCCAGAGGTTTCATCACATGTAATGGTGTGATCCAGAAAATCCTGGCCTTCCCTGACGTACGGCCATCTTTGAAACGTTTCCACCATTCAGATGTCTTTCTGCGGGCTGAGCGTCTCATCACCGTACTGTGCTTGAAGTCTTCTGTAGATTTCTGCGTGCTTGATGCCTTCCTTCACAAGAAACGTCATCACGCTGTTCCATGCACGCACTAACTCTCACACTGGTAGACGCACATACTGTCGTATCTTAGAACAGAGGTGATATTTTGCATTATGCAAACAAAGATCAACTTTAGGGCTGGTTCACACTATAGAAACGTAGTCCAGATGCGTTCCTGATGTGTTTCCACATGCGCATTTTTTGGCGCATTCCGGTGTGCTTTTGATGCGTTTTGTTGCATTTCCCCCCTCTTTTTCTTCAATTTAAATAGGAACATGTGTGTTCCAATGTGTTCCGGTGCATTTTTGATGTGTTTTTCCGTGTTCCAATACAGTTCTGTGCAAGAAAAATGTAGCATTTTCTACTTTTTTTTTTTCTGCCACTAGAACTGCAATCACTAATGTGAACTATGACATTAACAACCATATAACCTACTTTCTGTGCGTTTTGGATGCAGAAAAAAAAAACAACTGAAACGCATGTGTGTGTGCACTGGCACTTAAAGTGGTTGTAAACCCTTCCATATCCCCAGTGAAGTGACTGCCTCTGGTGCTACACAGAGATGAAACAAATCCTGTTTGTCTGCAGACCTGTTTGTCTGCAGACCTCTCTCCTCTACATCCATTCAAATGCGGAATTTATAAATGTTGTCTGAGCTTTCAGAAAGCAGGGAATCTGAGTTTACACTCTGCAGAGCTCAGTAAGAGCTGACTGGAGGGAAGGGACACAGCCCCTTCACACAGGAACAGAGCTAAAGCTGTCAATCTGCTGGATCTCCCTCCCCTGTCACCTTTTTTTCTCTTGGTGTCAGGAAAACTTGTCAGCGGTGACTCATGCTGATAGCAGAGGAACAAAGCAGCAGACATTTATGTATTTCAGGTACTTATATAGTTCCGTCAATTTATGCAGTGCTTTACTTATATATTGTACATTCACCTCAGTTCCTAACCCTCAAGGGGCGTACAGTCTAAGGTCCCTAACTCACATTCATACATACAGATACTAGGGACAATTTAGACAGGAGCCAATTAACCTACCAGCATGTCTTTGGAGTGTGGGAGGAAACCGGAGTACCCGGAGGAAACCCACGCAGTCACAGGGAGAACATGCAAATTCCAGGCAGGTAGTGCCATGGTTGGGATTCAAACCAGCGACCCGAGTACTGCCAGGCGGAAGTGCTAACCATTTTGCCACTGTGCTGCCCAGACGTGAATAATGCTCTGGAGTGAGGCAAGTACACACTATAGAGCAGTGGTTCTCAACCTTTCTAATGCCGCGACCCCTTAATACAGTTCCTCATGTTGTGGTGACCCCCAACCATAAAATTATTTTCGTTGCTACTTCAGAACTGTAATTTTGCAGTGGGAGGACTAGCACCCCATCACTGATGTCAGTGGGAGGAATAGTGTCCCATCGTTGGTATCAGTGGGATGAATAGTGCCCCATCGTTGGTGTCAGTGGGGGGAGGAATAGTGCCCCATCGTTGGTGTCAGTGGGGGGAATAGTGCCCCATCATTGGTGTCAGTGGGAGGAATAGTGCCCCATCATTGGTATCAGTGGGAGGAATAGTGCCCCATCGTTGGTGTCAGTGGGAGGAATAGTGCCCCATCATTGGTATCAGTGGGAGGAATAGTGCCCCATCATTGGTATCAGTGGGAGGAATAGTGCCCCATCATTGGCATCAGTGGGAGGAATAGTGTCCCATCATTGGTATTAGTGGGAGGAATAGTGCCCCATCATTGGTATCAGTGAGAGGAATAGTGCCCCATCATTGGTGTCAGTGGGAGGAATAGTGCCCCATCATTGGTATCAGTGGGAGGAATAGTGCCCATCATAGGTGTCAGTGGGAGGAATAGTGCCCCATCATTGGTGTCAGTGGGAGGAACAGTGTCCCATCATTGGTGTCAATGGGAGGAACAGTGCCCCATCATTGGTGTCAGTGGGAGGAATAGTGCCCATCATTGGTGTCAGTGGGAGGAATAGTGCCCCCATCGTTGGTGTCAGTGGGGAGGAATAGTGCCCCATCATTGGTGTCAGTGGGGGGAGGATTAGTGCCTATCATTGGTGTCAGTGGGGGGAGGAATAGTGCCCCATCGTTGGTGTCAGTGGGGGGAGGAATAGTGCCCCATCGTTGGTGTCAGTGGGGGGAGGAATAGTGCCCCATCGTTGGTGTCAGTGGGAGGAATAGTGCCCCATCGTTGGTGTCAGTGGGAGGAATAGTGCCCCATCGTTGGTGTCAGTGGGGAGGAATAGTGCCCCATCGTTGGTGTCAGTGGGAGGAATAGTGCCCCATCGTTGGTGTCAGTGGGAGGAATAGTGCCCCATCGTTGGTGTCAGTGGGAGGAATAGTGCCCCATCGTTGGTGTCAGTGGAAGGAATAGTGCCCCATCGTTGGTGTCAGTGGGGGGAGGAATAGTGCCCCATCGTTGGTGTCAGTGGGGGGAGGAATAGTGCCCCATCGTTGGTGTCAGTGGGGGGAGGAATAGTG